AATTTCAAAATTTTCTGGGAAATGATTCTTTCCTAGGCAGTGAATAAGCAGACAATCATATTATCAACATGATTAATGCATTTAAACACCTTATTATTCAGTGTCACCTATAAGATTGAGAAGGTCATTCTCAAATAGTTTGTTTTCGTCTACGTATCTTAGTTGTTGAAATTAGTGTTCAACAGTGCTGAAGTCATTTGCGTAAACCAATCGGTGTAGGTTTGTTGGTGAAAAAATAGAGGATAAGGACTTTCAAATGTTTAATGAATTTTCTAATGTTTCTCAGTTGATAAATAGATTCAGTTTTATTTCCCGACAATTCTACACTCTAGATATTCTACCTTTAAACCTCAATATCATTCTGGGGTTATATACTCACATTAAATAGGACATGTAAAATGAAACTAAAAAAAGAATCAAATTTTTGCGATTTATTTAACCACAACTCTGAATAATGACAAAGTTTGTTATCTGACTACAATTATTAATAAAACCATAAAGAAAACAGCTATTTAATGTTGACATAATTTATTGCAATTTGACATGGAATGCATACACGCAACTAATTTTTTGAAGAAAACAAAAACACAACGTAGAACACTTTTGAAGTTAGTATTTATCCGGCAATAGTATTAATTAGAGAAAAAATCCATACAATAGAATATTAAATAATTGTTTATTCATAACTTGGACATTTTTAATATCCTATATTTCAATTACGCATTGTTCTGCACGCTACAGCGAAATACAAAGCATCTCTTCCACATTCTTTGGCCATCCAGGGTAGTAGAGCTGATGCTGATCAGTAATGAACATTGTCTACAAACAATTCCATAATAGACAGATATAAGCGCATCACAACAAATACATTGTTGCCTTCTTAAATTTTGAAGAAAAAATATATTATTCCGTTTTCAGTCACAGAAAAAAAATAATGTTTTTGTTGTTGTTTCACCAATAATAATTTCAAGTGTTCTTCACAATTCCTGTTACATTATCAATATTTAATAATTATTTTTATCTACACTTTGTTTAAAAATGTTTGCGTTAAAAACACCTTAAAACGGATCTTATAAAAATCTCAATGTGAATAGACTAAACACAAATTTTATGCCAGACTAAATTTCGGATTAAAGACAAAACAAGAAAAGATAATAATTATCAACCTAAAAATGTGAATAAGCAGACAATTAGACAGATAGAAAATTTAGATTAAAATTAAATGATTAAGCGTTTATCTTATGTAGGCTGCCTCCATAAAACTACATATCTACATACATAGATAAAATGCACTAAATAGGATCACGATTTGTCTGAAGTTAGGAATGTGTCCAGATTTACTTACATTCGTTGTCTGCGTACCTGGGTTTCAATTTTGTTGAGAAATTCAAACCAAAACAAAACTTCTACTCGTTGTTTTCCTTTCGTTCTAAATTATTGTTAAATATGATGTTACTATGTGACGTAACAATCAAATTGGAATAAAATTTCTAAGCTTTACGAGTAATTATTAGTTAGTTAAAGAATGAACATCACTAATAAATTGGCAGATTTTATGGTGGAAAAATTTTATTTTCAATCCACCCCATTTTTCCATGAAATTAATTTTATTTGGCTAATGCCGATATCAGAGTACACATCGAATGGCTGAAGCTATCAGTTGTCATTCTGTCATTTCTTAGGAAAACAATTATCTTATTCGTGAATTTTTATTACGAAAATAAAAGTAACATTCTCATTAATTAATTTTGTTAAATATTAATGCAGTGATAATTCGATAAATTTCTTGATGTAAATAAATTGATTTTCCAAATATACATAAGAAATTTTAAATAGTTCTTTCTTCGTTAATGAAGGCCTTTACACTGTCGATATATACAGCCAACACTGAATGTGTTCAATAAACACGTGAAATATAATTTTCAATAGACTTATTGAATTTATTAATATTCTACACATGTTTGTGTAGTTATTTAGATAAAACCATGACACCAGTGTTTCGCACTTAGTACTAATTTCTCCCAAATAAAAGAGCTCTGTATTTATTCCTTTTTAATTGGAAAGCTATATTCTTTATTACAAAGCTTCAACCCATAAGTGACGCAGGACTATAACAAGACATGGTTGAATTTCTGAACTGAAACAATGATTTATGTGCATAGGGCAAGCAAAAAGAAGCAAGAGCTTTTCATGTCTAAACTTGAAAGACAGCAGGAATCCCAAATCATACATTCACGCTTGTTCAGTCAACAATTTAATGTCCATTCTTAATATAATGATCAGTAAGACAGAAAAATGAAACTCAAAGTTGAGTAGAAAGATTCTGTAAAAAATTTCATATCATACTCAAATAAACTGTAGGTTAAACAAATTTCCTACTACCCAACTCATTTATTATTCAAATACACAATTCATTACAATATTTTCAGTTAGAGTTTTGGAGATTTGTGTTTTTTACACATTTGAAATCATCAGTCAATCATTGTTAAACCACCATTCGAAACCTGGAAGCACTGAAAGACGGCCGTTTCGCCCTGGTATGGGACTCATCAGCAGTGCGCATCCACGACATTCTAGTCCAAGACCTTCGATATTGTTCTCAAACGCCTAACCATTGTACCAGTGGGCCGGCATCCAACGGTGTTATGTCTAACTCTGATTGATCTAGGGATTTTGCGCGACCTCATCCATTTGTCTTTGGTAGTTACTGCCCACACCTGACAGGGTTGAACTCCATTGGTCACGTCATTACGTTATAATCCTAAGTTGCTTTCCAATACACTGAGTTATTTACACTATACAAACGCTGGAACCAATATTTTTCCCTGTTCATCTTTTTAATAAACTAATTAAGTTCATTATCTCATTATCACAACAGAAAAAAATATTCATTTACAGACAATCGGAATAAAAAATTACTTTGTTTATTTGAAATTCACTGCAATAATTCCTGTGTTGGTTACTTTATTTGTTCATTTATGAATAACATTTGTGAAGTATCATTATTTTCATATTTAATAAATCATCAAAGAGATCTAGAAAGTAAAGATCAAATTCTCTTTATACAGTAAAATTGATTACTGAATGAGTTTAGTGTAGGTTACTTCAAAATGGAAGCGAATATGGTGAAATAAATAACAAGATCACTCACATCGATAATATTTATGTTTTAATCTGATTGTATAGAAGACATTCCATTACTATGGTTGCAGTTCCGGTTATGCATTATTATATAAATGTATTATCTTGGTTGTCTTTTATTTATTTTTTCTTAAACCTTTAATCATGTGAAATTTTAACTTTTTCAATTCATAACATTCCTGAATTCTCATCTAAGTAAGTATGCATTCCATTCACATGTTTATTACAGGTATATTATTACCAAGTTAAATCAAATCATATTTTTAACTTCAGTAACTCGTGAATGCCTGAAATATCACATCATAATCATTTACTTTGTTGTGGTACCCTGGATGATGCTTTGTTTTATCTCTCGTACGATGTAAACGATGTAAACTGTCCCAATAAATTATCCGCAATTGTTACAAATCAACAATATCAAACGTACATTGATAAACAAACTTGTATGCATAAAAATTATTTTGTATATATATATATATATATATATATATATATTGCTTTAAACTTTTTGAAATAGTCACATAAAATTTATGTTTTTTCAAAAAATATCTTTAGTTCATCTTAAGAATAAGTACTGCATTTTGTTTCTTTTCTAAATTATAATCGAAATGGAACAAAATATGATGTTATAGTGTGATATGTTTTTCAACATATCATGTTACAAATTCTCACATGCTTTATATCATCTCAATGTTCACACTAAATTAATTCAGCGTAAAGAAGTAGTTTTAAGAACTCATTTAAAAATACCACATGATAGAAATGATAGATATCACTTCAATTCGTTTGTAAAACTTAATAGACAGTTGATGAGAATGTCTGAAAAATTTCCATCATCCTTTTGTGTTTTAGGATTATTTTTTATGATGAAACCGAATATATGATTTAGCTTTCAAATAAAAAAATTCTGAAATGACATTAAAGGAAAAATATGACTAATGGGTTTCTACACGCTCATAACATAAGTTAAAAATCAAGTTGATCATATTAGAGGATAATGCTGTTTATTAAATGCTCGGTCAGAAAATTCAAGACGTAGATCAAATCTTCCACATCTACATATATATTTCTCAATCAAAATAATATTTTTTATAAAACACATAGCAAAAGCGCCTTCTGGTGAACTTTTAGGGACAGATTAAATTTCCCTACTACTTTAGAATGAATGGCTTAGTTTCGGTCATCTGACCTTCGCTTTTTACATCTGAAGTCATACACAGTCTGCAGAACCTTTGTTTTATTCATTTGGCTGATCACTCCACTTTGTCTGCTTAGCAAATATTCATCCATAAGATGATTCTAAAGTGCTTAATCAAACATAAAAAAATTGAACTGTATATCGGCTTGGTCACATAAAAACAAACATTATGTTCGTCTTAAATGTTACGAAATGGAAAACATCAGATTTAGCTCGTTGAATTTTTTACAGTTAAAACGATCTCGGTATTTACATGATTATTTTCAAATGATCTTAATTTTGAAAATCTTTTTAACGAAACACTATGTCAAATTTATGATATTTACTTTACAGACCCTTTCATATTAAAAACAAATGCAATAGTTTGTTCTAAATAATATACTACTAAACTGGATTTTTATTACACAAAATCTAAAAGAAGTAAACACTGAAGTAACCAATTTTATTATTTTATTCACTTTTTTTTTCCTTTCGTATTATTGGTTAATTTGTTTCCCTACTATGTAACATTTTCATTGGTCGGCTTATAATTCACATTCGTTGATGTATACAAAACTCATAAGAACTTCAAAATTATTTAATTTGTAATTAATTGAACATTGTCTAATAAATCCTTTTGATTGAACGTGATTGCCTATTTCTGTAATATTCCATAAAAAAAATGACCGAAGATGTTTGTCGTAATTCTAAAATATTCATATCAAAAAGTCTTGATTTTATTTTGACAAATAGTCAATTGTTCACAACAAATACTAATACAATGAATAATTTTTTCCAGAATCATGATAATGTTTCAACTTTAATTTTGAATGAATACATTAAAAATTTAACAGAGAAATTAATAGAATTACAAGCTTCGAAACAACAATTATTTATATGTAATATAATACATTTATTATGGATGTATATACCACCAATTATATTTATATTTGGAAGTTTAGGGAATATTTTATCATTTGTTATCTTGAAACATCCATCAACTGGTTCAGTGACAACATTTGTTTATTTAATTGCACGTTCAATTGTTGATGAGATGGTTTTAACTGTTGGATTATTACGTCGATGGACTGATAAAATATTTGATACAAAATTTGAAAATACATCAAATTTTCTATGTAAAATGATACATTTTTGGGGAACATCATCAAGCCTATTATCTGTATGGTTAACTGTAACTTTAACAGCAGAACGTGCATTAGTTGTTAGTTTTCCATTACATGTTACACGATTAATTAGTTATTCTCGTGTAAGAAATATTATCATAATTATGAGTATATTATGTGCAACATTGAGTTTGCACTTTTTGTTCACTGTAGGAATTACTCCACATTGTTTACAGGAATTTCCTAAATCATCATCATCATTATCTTCACAGTTGACAACAGAGCAAACTGTACAAATGAATCTGACCAAACCATACAATAGTCATAATACACAAATAAAATGTTTTTATCAATGTTCAATCTTACCACAATATTCACCATTGAATTGGTACTGGTCAACATTTGATGCAATTTTATATTCATATTTACCGTTCTGTTTAATATTTGGATTTAATGTGATCATATTAAAATCGGTGTATCGTGCAAATAAAGAACGTAAACGTTTGCGTGTATATAATTGTTCATTAAATCATACAAAAAATGTAAGTTCATCACCAACACCCTCATTAATTACGTCGAAATCGTTAACAGTCAAAAAATCTACACAAATCAATGAGACCAATCCTAATGTGAGACAATTAACAATTGTTTTATTAATTATATCATTTTCATTTTTATTTACAACATTTTCTATTGTACTAATAAAAATTTTAGCACAGGTTTTAGATTTACGCGGTACAAGTAAGCTAAATGCTAGAATTTATTTTCGTTTAGCTGATACAATAGCTGAATTATTTATGTACATAAATCATGCAATGAATTTTTATTTATTTTGTGCAACAGGTAAAACATTTCGTAAACATTTAATATTATTATTTAATCGATGTAGACATATGACACTGCCTAGTAATAAAACAAACACTAAAAACAATCCTCATTTTATATGTTCTGCATGTAAATGTTGTTATTCAGTATACTTTACTAGTTCTTTCGATACTACTAATAATAATAAAATTTCTAATAAGATTGAAGTAAGCCAAATTGAAACAATGAAAACTATTGATAGAACAAATTATAAAGATGTTGTTGTCACGTTGAATTCACAAGGATTATATACCTGTGACATGAATGAAATGAATGCAGTACCAGGTATTCAAGATATAAGTACAACAACAGAGATAATGTCAGATAAATTGTATACACCTTTATTGAATAATTCATGTAATGTATTCATCTATAATAATAATGATAATAATATTGAAAATAATCATGATTATGAAATAAATGATAATTATAAATGTCTTTCTAAATCATGCAACAAATTCTACAGTATTAATAATAATCATTTATCATCAACCGTTTTGCATTCTCCCAAAATTCTTCTAAAAACTCTTACGTACCATCATTTTGATAAAAGAAAACCACATCAACATCATAAGCAACAACAACAAGAGCATGATGAAAGCGATGTAGAGGATGATAAATATTTAGAGATGTATTTCATTGATACAACCAAACATTCAAACTTCAAATCTTGTAGACGACAAACATCTAAGGAATCGTTACAAACTGTATAACAACAAGATGCAATTTTTTTTTAAAAAGAAAATCAAAATTTCAGATTTTTTTATCTAGGAATTGTATTGAATTCATGCTAGACTGTAGTATATTTAAATTATATTTGCAAAATTTATTTTTAAATGCTTTCACACAATTGAAGTGATAAATATTTTTTGGGAATAATAAATTCTGCTGTCTGTATTCAAAGGTTTTGATTTCTATAATGCAATGGATTAGTGAAAACGTTTATATGACTAACTAAATAAAAGGTTTTAACTCATTCATGGAAGAAATCTTGAATTAAAATAGCGTATAGTTTTAGAATTCAAAACGGTGAAATGAAGGTTTACCTATAAATTATAAAGTTATCTCGTTATACAAGAAGTGTTTTGAAAATGTTTCATACTACACAGTAATGTTTAATTTTTTATTCAAACTGGTTTATTTTTCATTGGAAACTTGATAAAATAAATTATACTAGGAATTGTAAGAAGTCAGAAGTAAGTCTTTTTTAATAATATATACATTAGTAAAAAGTTGTATACCTTTACCAGAGGTATACAGACTAAATGTTTAAACACTATATTCACGGATAAACTGTTCACTATTTTCAATCTGTCAATAGATCTTTGAGAAAGAAAATAGTTAAATAAATCATACTGAGGAAATATCAATTATTTCCCACTTAACATAGTGAGAATTTCCCTTTCTTGCATTCGTATTTCCAAATAGCTGATTGAAAATGATCCAGTATGTTTTGTTGTGAAATTATAGTCAATTATTAACATATTTAACCTTGTTACAAGATACATGCAAATATGCATTTTCGAAATAGACAATGATTCTCTTGGAAAAACCAACACTAATATTCATCTGTTTAAATAATTTCGAAAGAAATATATCACCTCGATTCCCTTATCAACTGATCAGTTGGTTCAGTAAGATAGTATGAGATCGCCAAAAGGTTAGTGGGAAATCTGCGCAACATTTAAATATTTTCGCTGTATTCACATTTATTTAAAGGAGGAACCCTTTGAAATGAGTTAATCATCAATGCTGTACACGAAATTATCCATATATATATACATAAGGCAATGAGTAATATTGAGTTTGTCAGAATTTCATCCATTGTTATGTAGGAACTTAGTTAAAAAATTAAATGACCAAAAACATAGCTACTGAATAAAGGAATTTTTTAAATCATAAGAAATATTTACATGATAGTGTGAAGTAAGTAGCTATGATAATCCGTCAAATGAAGTGAAATTTAAATGGAAATCAAGAATTTTGATTAGAAACAATCTTTGTAATAATAATTGTAATAATACCTATCGTAAACGCTTAAGCGAAGTATGCAAAGAAAAATAATACGTAAAAGAAAAAATTAATTAAGGACATGACAGGAAGAAGAATCTGACAAATTATTTTCTAACAGACAGTATGGACGACTAGAACTCCTGGAGTATAAAGTAGGCATTGGCTTACCTCTCGCCTTATTTTGTACTTACTAACAAAGTTCACTTCAAAGCAAAACGCCTGTGTAAAATATACAGTCTAGGGATGTCATAAGTGATCCGTGATCTTCCTCGGTAAAGTACAAAGAAAAAATTTCCTGAATAAGAAAACAAGTGTTCTCTACAAATAACCTATAAACTTACGTCCACATAATCAGGTGAACTGGCACATGTATATTAAGTTTGCTAGTCAAGGCAACTCATTTTCCAAATGACGCATCGCGACGAGGTAACTACAATAGTTTATCTAAAGATTTGCAGCATAAAATATATTTTAAATTTACTTATTACTCCAGACATCTCCCTTAAATTGAAGATTTAAGAATAATGTTTTGGCATGAATATTGTGTTTAGTTTCTCAGTATTGTTTATCGCCCATATTTCTCGGGGCTGAATCTAAACAAGCCTCTATTCTTAAGAGTGAATTTTGAAATGGATATTTCGTTCCATAAACGATCAAGTGAACAAATTATTTGTCAAATGATTATTTATTAAACACACACAATTGTGAAGTACCGAAAACAGAGTTCCTTATACGTATAAACTGTTTGATGTCTTTGTCGATGACCAGTCCGAAACAGGACAAAACGCACTTCCTAAGTTTTACCCCAACCTACCATCAATCTTGGTGAATATGTTTAAAATCGCATTTGTATCTTAGAAAGAACCTAGTATTTTAAGAAATTATATAATCTGAAAATAATGAAAATATTCAAAATTTTCTTAATAAATGTTAGGATTTACAAACGTTTGTAGATTGATATCCGTAAAAATAATTCCAATTTACAAAGCTTTGAAAATAAAATAATATAAACGCAAAGAATTAGAAAAATCTCTTCACTTTTATAAACGTATACTTTTGTAATAATCACCAATCTACTAATAAGTATTAATAAAAGCATCTGTGATTGGATTTATGCTCTTACTTAAGCAACTTTGAGGATTTCTGCGATGTGTCTTCTCAACCTCCAACTAGTTTTTCCCGTCTACTCTTCAGTTAAAAGGTAGTTTGCTTCTGATAGTGTCTGTATTATCGTGTGTAAACAATTATTTAGAAATACCTGCATCTTTTGAATGATAGTTTTGATAGTTATTTAGGTTTTCACTCCGTACAATAGAACTGTATTGATGTTTGCACTGAGAATCCTGGCATTAAAGTTGGTTAACAGATGGTTGTTTTGAGTCCCAGATATTCTCCAATCACAAGAATGATGCCATTAATTTGCCAATCCATTCCTTCACGGCAACATCATTTCCCCCTTCATTATGAATGACCTTGTCTGTATAAACGTTCCCACATCTTTGAGAGCTTCTCCGTCAGGTATGATTTGGATAATGCTCACTGTGTTGTATTTCATAATCTCACAGTTCCTCTTGTGTGAGTTGGGTCCCACTGCTACAGAGGTTGCTACTACACTAGTCATCTTCGTTTGCATTTGTTGCTGTGCATGGTATAGAAGAGCCAGGTGATCTGTAGGGCTTGGATCCTCCTCCTCCTCCTTCTGTCTACCCTGTCAAATGTCTTCTCATAACAGGTTGGTGTAAAGCGATGAGTCTCATTCAGTTGATTCCTGAACAATATTCTGCAGTGTTGGGATTCGGTCAGTACATGATTGATCTTCAGAGAATCCGGCACGTTGATATCGAGGTTGGTTGTCTACAGATGTTTTAATTCGATCCAATCACACTCTGTTGAAGCCTTTTCCGCGTAATGATAGTAGTGTGACGCCTCTTCAGGCATCAGGTTAAGATATTCCAGCTTTGGTGTCTTGACCAGTTTTTCTTCTTTCTAATCTGTCTGTTGCCGTTCTTCCCATCGAATGCTAGTGATGAGAGGGTGCAGCATAGTTGTAGGTACTTCTATGTCTAACCTCCTTGCGTTAGCTGGTATGTTGTCTGGTCCTACTTCTTTACCACTCTTGTTTTGTCAGATAGTCATGTTGATTTCTGTGATTGTTGGTGAGGAAACATCCATAGGAGAGTCTGCATGTGTCGCTTCGGTGATCGCTGAGTTCAGTTGGTCTCGTCTATTCAAGAATCCCTTAAAATGCTCTGCTCACGTTTTCGACAATTCTTGGGTTTCATTGATTGATTTATCTTCTTTTTTCTCCATTGTTTGAAAATACACAAAATTGCACGAAATATTAAGTTGCTAGATCTTTCTGTGTGCATTTTTATGACAAGATTGAATATATAATGACTAGTATTTAATTAACAGACATTTGTCAGAAATCTTAATGCACATACTCGATAATAATATTATTTACGGAGAGTAGTTGAACACCGACGAAAAGTGAGAAAGAAACCTATTGTGCTAATTGCATGAATATTGTCTACATTGGCTAAATATGAAAATTCTAAGAGAAAACATTTTAAAGCAGATGGTGACACATTTTGCAAAGAATGTAAATTGAAATCAGTATTACTTGATAACAAGTAGAAAATTGCATGAATGAAAATGATAAGATGGGTAAAGTTTTAAAAAAGAACAACATTATCGGGAAAAGGAATTTGTAATTAAGTTTGTGATATATATATATATATATATATATATATATATATATATATTCTTTATTATATAGTTAAAACTATCATATGTCAGTCAGCATAGCACCAGACCTACATCTTCATCTTTTGGAATGATATAAGAAGTGAATAATGTTGTTTAGATTATTTAAACAACATTTTTACTTCAAATGGTGTTTCTTTTTATCATACCAACACAGAAGAGATTGTAAAGTCCATCAGATTGAATTGATAAGTTACTGTTTAGACTTTTTTCTGGAAAAAAGTGTTTCCATCAAAAATTTTCTGTAAACCATTCTATTTTATTGTTTTGATAGGTAAACACTAGAAATGTAATGCATTGATTTGAATACCAATTATTCTGCCCGAAATTAAGATACATTTTTTTATTTCAGCTGCTAAATTTAAAATCTATTATTTTTAGAAAACAAAATAAATTTCTGTAAGGTACAACAGCTTAATCGAACTGTTTAAACTTTACTGAAGTTATTATAAACTTCATAACATTTTGAGATGATAAAAAAAATGGTTGACTTAATCAGTAATTAACAAAAACAAGGCAGACTGACATAATCGCTTGTCCCCCCAATTGAAGTTATGAAACTTTCAGTTTTAGTACGAAGAGAGAAAACACAAAAACTAATTACTGTAGCAGTGTTCCATATAAAAATTGAGATTACAAAAAAGAAAGCTTATTTTTAATTCATACTCCAGAACTTTCATTGTAGTTTCGGCGAAATGAACATCACAGTCTGTTTTAGATGGAGATAAAACCTTCAATAAGGAAGGATTGAAAGAGAGTGATTAAATTTCAGTTCTTTAACAAAATATTCCTAATTAAACTATTTAAGTTACAAGACACAATTACATTAATACCATTCATTTATGTTGTATTTATCAATTCATACAAACCACATTACATGGAATACCTTTGTTAGAATGTTGTTTAGAAGAAAGCTTATTTCGTAGTGTACGAACGTCTGTCAAAGTAAAATGTTTGAAATGTTTCAAATGAAAATAAGAAAGTCCCAATTTTTA